CATCACCCAGTATACTTCAATGGGTCAGTGATGTACGCAAACCGTCGCACCACGTTAAGATCCATCCTCATTGCGACGGGAATTGTGTCCGAAGTTACTAACAACTCCCTTACACTGTCAACCAGGATCCGCTGAACTTCCGACTCGAATTTGACAGATTCGGTCACTCAGTCATCGTTTTCCTTCGGTTGGGAACAGATGAGGTGAGATAGAGCGTCAGGTTGGTCGAGTTATTGCATTGATCGGTTTTGTATATTGAAATCTTAAGCCAGCAGTACGCTTGCCCATCTCTGTAACCGACTTGCTGGGAAAACAGGAATGCCCTTCTTCGACCCAAATATCACGAGTAAAACTTTGTGGCCCGTAATCAGTTTGAAAAGTCTACCAAGTAGCATCTTATGAAACCGCCTTACTGCAAAAACAATCACCAGCGCTTCCTTCTCACTCTGGTTGTAATTTTTATCCGCCACTGTCAGCGACCGTGCTGCGTGCGCAATAGCCTCTTCTCCTGAAGGCACGTAGGAAATGACAGCACCTACCCCATAATATGCGGCGTCCAAAGCAACAACAATCTCCAAGTTTGGGTTGAAGTGGGTCAAAAGTAAATCAGAACTTAGCGCTGCCTGAACTATGTCAAAAGATTGTTGACACTCCTTTGTTTATCGCCATTCTTTCCCTTTCATCAGCAACTCTTTCTGATGTAGACTTGATAGGAAGGCATTATAATGACTTATAAGACCGAGAAATGAACGAAGTTCGGCAACATCTTCTGGTGGTGGCATCTGCTTGACGGGTTCTGTATTAGCGAGATCCGGACACCGACCACGTTTGTCAATGATGAACCAAAGAAACTTGACACTTTCCATCAGGAAATTGCATTTTTACACTCGTAACCTGATATGCAAACACTTTCTTTAACGTGGCCAGCTAATTTTGTAGGTCAGACCCCATAATCAGTGCGTCATTGAGGTATACTGCGACCCCAGGGATATCGTTCAGTAGCGTATCCATGATCTGTTGAAAATGGCGGGGGCGGTTTTCACTCCAAATGGCAACCGATTGTACTGGATAACTCCAAGATGCGTGTTGACCGTCAGTAGTGTTCTGCAGTTCTCGGCTACTAGAACTTGTAGGTAAGCATCAGCTAGGTCGAACTTCGCAAACCATTTACCACCGTTAAGTTGGGTGAACAAATCTTTAGGTCTAGGCAAAGTATACTGGTGATTCTCCGACATAGAATTTAAGCCGGTTGAGAACTCGACACAAATAGGTACTTTGCCGTTTCCTTTTTTCATCACAACGATGGGTGCCCGCCCATTCTGAGTAATGTACGCGCTTGATTATGCCTTCCGACTGAAGGCGATTTAACTCAGACTCCACTATTCATTGGGTTACGTACGGCACTGGGCGTTTTGGTTTAAAAACTGGTCTGGCGTCTGGTTTGAGGTTCAGCTCCGCTCTGGCTATTTGGCAGAATCTAAGACCCAGTTGGAACAAACTTTCGTGGCGTCGCTTCAGTTCTGCAATTTGACTGTAAAGTTCGAGGTTCATATTCGACGTCTGTGCTGGTTTTTTTGACTTGTAATTTCTGACATGTACTGTTAACTGACTGGTCAGGTAAGTTCAATTCATCCATGCAATTGAGACTTAGCAAATTCGATACTGGCTGATCTGTCACAAAACAGGTTGTACGAATGTGCTGATCGCAGAAACTAACCTGACAATGCAACTCTCCAAGCAATTTCATGATACTCCCGGATGCGTTTCATGCTGTGTGGACAAGCGGTGGTCGTCCCAGCATACACCATGTGTCACGACAAATCAATATGATGTCTGACCCAGTATCCAACTGCAGCTTAACTTCCTTATCATTTATCTTCAACATTGTAAACTTACGCCTGCTGACACCGTCAACCTTGAAAGTCGCCGTCACACTTTTGGTCTCGTCGTGACATCGGAAACTCACCGGGATTCGACGTCATATTCCTCTCTCTGTTAGTCGCTTCGCAAGACTTCACGATGCTTTGTGCCCTCGCTTATCACAGCGATAGCAAATATGGTTTCGAAACGGGCAGTTTCGATCAGAGTGCCATTCCCTGCAAAACCAACAAGCAGAAGAGGGTTTAGCATGTGGTGAACTCACATGAACCTATTCTTTCTGAGGACTTCTGATGACCCTCCAAATGATGTCCTGACTACTCTGGATAGAGGACTGTTGGATCATTGCAACATCATGCTTCAAGTTCATCAACCGTTGGCATTCTTTCGTCACTTCCTGCAGTGTGATCTCGGGATTTTGTTCAATTCTGCTCAGTACTCTTGTTCGGGCATCCGCATCTTTGGTTGCTTGAAGATCACACACATAAATAAGGCACTTGTACTGATCAGCTGTCATCTTGTGAAACAGCGACCGTTCACACTCACGATTTTGTCAACTCGAGTAAGTAACCCAGTCTTCGTCGTCTCGCTTGGTCATTGTCAAGCACCTGTATCGGATATTGAATAGTAACGACTGCTCTCTAAATATCTGCGACAAAGTAGCAACCATTTCATCAAATGTTAAATCAGGGCGTTTCTTCGGGAAGATAAAATTCATGAACTTTTCATGCTCGGCCGCACCCAATTTCCGCAGCATGAGGTGAACTCTCTTGTCTCTGAAACACTGGCTAAATCAACGCGAAACAGGTATTTATGGAACCACGATTCAAACGTAATACTAGCATCCGCATCGGAACAGAACTCGCAAACTTGCTGGTTCAATGTTTCTGTTGGGGGCCACTTTCACTTGCTCCTGTTACCGAGCCTGCTTCTAGTGACAAATTCTTGCTCAGTGTTTCAATCAGCCTGGCCTGTGCTTTTTCAAACTGCGGTTGCTGTTGTGGCAACGGAGCCTGAAATTGTTCAAACCCGATTGACATCTTTGCGTTCTTCTGGTTTTGCCGTTCCAGTAGGTCCAGTGAAGATGGTTTGACGGAACGGTTATTGGTAAGCGGGGTAAGGTTATTTATGATATAATGCTCGGAAAGGACAACTGGACCAGACGCGTCAATCATCTACGACTACGGCATGGAAACACTCGAAGACCTCAAGTACCAGTAGCACTGCGGTGGGTTTTGGTTTGGAAAACGGAACTGACCCCCAAAGCGGAACACAGCCAGTCGCACAGTCGTCACACGACCTAGTATGCAGGCCAAGTCGAAGAAGAAGGCAACCGCGATGGCTACAAATGGACCCCAGGGTAAGAAGCTACGACCAAGCCCAAGTGCGAAAAATTGGTAGGAGCAATCATTTCGAAAAGGGAGATAATAGGTAAGCGGAGCCAGTGTCCAGCTACGGGGTTACGCGCGGGCTTACCGTGGAACACGTGAGCTGTATGCTGCAAGTGAAGGTCATCAGCACAGGTGTGGAACGACCTTTGACTGTTCCGCCAAATATGGGAATCGGGTGCGAATTGATTGGCCAAAAAATACAAGCCCGCGTCTAGGGAGGCGAACTATTCCGCCAAATATGGTAAACCATTGGGACGGAATTCACTTACGTTGGCTGAAAACCAGACGCAGAAGAGTAGGTGGCCTGGGCTTCCAAAATTACATGTTTCGTTCACCAATAAATAGAGCTGACCTATGCTGTAAAATATATCCTGCCTACCGAGTCTTGGTCTTTGGTATTCCTACAGTTGACTGGCGCGTGGCTGAGCAGGCAGACGGTCGCAGTCTCACAGGTGAAACAAAGCAGCAGTACAACAGTCACCATCGACTTTATGGTTTGTCTTGAACATGAATTTAGGCATTCTTGCAGCTAGCGTTTCACCAATCGCTTGGTAATAAGTTTTTCTGTGCCTCTATTTCGGCATCTCTTCTAGCTCCCTGCACGGAGCACTTACTATAAAACTGTTGCATTTTCCCTTACGACGTTTATTGATCCTCCATGAACCGTGAAACCGAACTGCCCACACTTGGCTGTTGGTCGGGTACCAATCTAACGATCTAGTCTTTGCTACCTACTGCTGCACTAACTCCGGCCAAGCCCGGTGCGTATGCCTATAGTTCACTAGACAGACGCATATTGCGTACGATCCCCATGTTAGAATTTCAATTTAAACACTGTACTATTCTCCTGCAATGGGTTTCGGAAATATTGGCGGACAGTCGAATGACTCATTCAGGACTGCTTTCACCAATATACGGTGCCACATGGGGATCTTCCTTATATCCGTAGGTCGTGTTTCCGGTGCCACAGTGTATGAACGTATTCATTCACAGTAGTGGTTCATGGCTTCCTGCTTAAGGGCCTGAAGCGCCCCCAAATCTTTGTCTTTGGTTATACGTATAGCATTGCTGGTGTCGGGTGGCGTCAGTGTGTTCGCAACGATGGAATATTCAGGTGACCACAAGTCAAGTGATCAAACTTGTTAGGTTGCGTTCGTTTATACACATGATGCGCATGCATGCTTAATGCTTTCTTGAAGGTTACCAGTTTTATTTACTTGATCTAAGACGGTGTGAGGCTTGAGCGAGGTAACTGTTGATCCGACAGCGGAAATGCGGTCTCTGATTACACGATAGAGTGTGTGCGACTTACTTTGGGCTTGATTCAATACATGCTTCGCGACCATCACCAGTTGTACCCTTTTGGTCATCTTTCAGCTGGACAAACCGTTTACATAGCATTTGTCTGTGGTCATGCTGATTATGATGCGTGGAAGTGAATGGAACAAGGAGCAAATGTTACAGATACCCATATTCTCTCCCGGTGATCGGCAGTTTGTTACCATGTATTAGAGAAGTTTGGATGTTACATTTGGTTTCCCCTTGCTTGTCATACTGCTATTGCTTATCAATGTTGTCTTCGTAGTCAAACGGCGGTAAAGTAACACTCTGTCTTACTGCTACGGATTACAATATCCCGCGGCTTCATCCGACTAGGCTCAATCCCAGCTATATAGTGCTCTCATCTGTTTTGTTCTTTCACACCCTTCTTTTCATGTCCTTTCTTTCTAGAGACCAAATGCATTCAGGAGGTGCTCAGGATCTCGTCGGACGGACTTCTGGCTCCCATTGAATTGTTCGACAGCTTTGTCGCTTTGCTGCATGTTCTGCGAGAGTCCACCGCGGTTTCTCACGTGTTACTGGATGATTTTCGTCATGCCAATGGGTACACAGCTATCACAGAATTGATTCTCAAGTAAGTGCTTCGATGTTGTGCATGGTAGACAAGCCGTATACGCGTGGCATCAATCCTGTCAGTCCCAGCCCCAACTGAACAGTCTGCTCATCGTCATCCGGCAATGGGATATATTGGCGTGTCCGATCGTAATTGCACTTTCCATTGGCCATGTTGAACTAGCATTTCCAAATGTCACCCCTCTGAGCTTGAAGCAGCGAGTGCTATATGTTACCTATTCCATGCTTAGATTGCAGATGTGGGTCTAGTTGCCCTGTCAACCTGGCGAAGGAATTCTTCCCTCTCTCTAAGCGTTTATAGTCAGCTGAGACTTGCTGTCACTGTCTCTCCATCTTCATATCTCCCTTAGCATGATAAAAACGCCGCGATTATGCACGCAACATGGAACCCATCGTGGCATTAGTTGCGGCTGTAATTATGATTTCTGTCCCATTTTGCTCCACTTCATCTTAACTTCAAACTCTTATGGGAGCAGCTGGATGACCGCGATGCTCTATTGATATCCTCTCTTAACTCTACGCCGTTCGCTAACGCGAAGCTGCTCATAAGGTGACTTTCCATCAAGAGTACGTTGACTTGTTCGATCACTCCACTCGTATGCACGCGACTGCCCGGAAGAGGATTAATCATGCTCATGTTCTTTTGTATTTTTGGACTACTCTAATTCTTCGGTGATCTACAACTTGGTTCCTTGTTCTCGTTGTTATTCTTTTCATCTACTAATTACATCCTTTTTCCTCGTACCTTTATCATTTGTCTCTGTTGGTATTCATCTACTATCTTACCTGTGCAAGTCATGACAACCATGTCCAGCCCACCTAAGCACTCGGGTCGTTGTGCATTATCTCAATCTGAATTCCGGCCCTATAACACCTTGCCATAAACCCAGTCTCTATAGAGCCGCGAATTGTTTGTCACCCTCAATCTAACCCGGGTCCAGTATTCCGGATCTTAGTGCAGTGCTACTGCCATGTAGGTGAGCTTTCTAGATACAGTATATCACTTCTAAAACTCGTCCCCCTCTAGAGTGAAAGTTCCGTCAGGAGACCAACTGACATTAATTTGAGTATGCGGAAGACGTACCCCTACTATGACAGGCTGGCGTGGAATACAGCGCACCTCGGCATTTGCTTTGCACCTCCAGAGTGCAACATACTGTTGCAGGACTGCGCCAACACAACCCCGGTTCTAGCTGTCACCGTACAGCCACTGGAAGTGATGGATCGGTTCAGTTACCTTGGTGGCTATCACCTCTGCTGGTCACATCACAGAGGAAATCTCTTTGCATATCAGCTTGGCCCGCGTGGTTTTCCAGAGACTCAACCATATATGGAAACGGCGGGATGTCAGTCTGTCAGTTAAACATAGGATATATAACGCTACGGTAAGGCCGCTCTTACTGCATGGATCAGAGACCTGGCTAGTTCGCGACGAGGACATTAAACGCTTGGACGTGTTTGACTACGGGTGCTTGCTTAGTATCGCTCACGTCTGGTGGGAACATCGGATGAGCAATGCGGAGGTCCACCAGTCGGATTTTGGCAAGAAGCGTTCTGCTACCGCGCCGACGATTTTTCTAAACTCGAATCGTCTACCTTGGTCTTATCATGCTTTATATACGCGCGTTGACCACATTACTCGGCATGCATTATGCGCCTTCGCTGCGTCACTTTGCGCGAAACCGCGAAGTCGTCAGTCCATGACGTGGCATAGAGGCACGAATAAGTCGACTGAAAGACCTGTTCAGCCAGGCGTGTGCCCTTTTCGTGGATGTGACCTCTTGACTGTCCACCTCAGTGGTTTCAAACGCTATTGCACTGGGCGCAGTCTCGCAGACAGAGCCGTTCCTACATTGTCCCTTCTGTCTAAGTGCTAATACGCCATCCTCGTCAGGTCTGCTCGCTAGTTCCGTTAATCCTTGTTTGCTTTTTCCATATCATTTTGGTTTATTCGTTATTTTTACTGCGCGGGTCTTAGGAACTGGATCCACTGCACGAGGTGTATGTGACGAGGTCATAGTTTTTTACTCATCTGTATTTGATTTCTTATGATACACCGAACGGAGACATGAGTTAGAGTGCAGTGAAGCCGACTGCCATTGTTTACTGCTCCATGAAATTGATACAGGTAGGTCCAAACTGGAGAATGTGCCTTTCAACTTGCAAACAGTCAAAGTTGCCAAGTGGATAAGTTAACAGCCGACTTCGTGGCTGTGTCTTGTTGATTCTAACCTCTAGACATGGATGTGACATACCCTGGAACCTCCCATGACATTATTATGCAGTCCATTTCCAATCTGTAGTGCCACCCACTATATTCGCTATTCTTATCTCCTCTTTACCACTGCCTTCGTTTTGGTCAAATACCATTGATCGTCGCCATGGGGCAGCATACCATCGGTGATACACACACCTTTCTGCGCATCTCGTGGAATTTCGACCATTCACATACTTCACACCTGCTCGTCCATCATCATGATTCCACTGTGCTACGTCTTGTTAACTTGTAGCACCTTGCTGATCATGTATTTGTGCCAATCAATACGAATACCGCGTGGGCGGGCTACTTTTTTCGTGATTGTAAATGCGGCGCTTCTGTGTATTGGATGCGATCTAACTCGAATCAAACTCCTGAGCAGTATTGCCTTGAATCGCACACAAACTCTACGAGTCGGTCGTTATTAACTTTTGATGTGGGATCATTTTCGCGGTTGATTATCTTACACCTTTTCTGCTCATCGCCTTGTCTCAAGTATATAGTTTGTCTTTATGCAGCTCGAAAATTGTCTGTTTTCCGGCATTGTTTGCCGTTGGACATCGCATAATTTATCATGGTTTCGGTTTGTTGCACCCCACTTGGTGGTAGTTTTTTCTCTCGCGCCACTAGACTTCTAGAAAGACTTCATTCATCTTCCCCTATCTTCCCCTGTTTTCAGCTCTCCGCCGGTACTCCACTTCCAACTAAAAAAGCGTTTTATCTTATCCAATGATCCCGTCACTGTATATTGCACGGCGGAAGACATGTATGCAATGCATTTGCATTTTAATCAGATGAATCAAGGCCAGAAATCAGTTCAGGGTTAAGAATTCTTTGCGGTAAATTCTCTTCAGATCCAAACGTTTACATAACACTGATTGTCTGGGGTAAGCGTCAAATCGGGTTGGGATTAGTTTCTAAGGTGTTTGAACGGCCAAGACTGATGACTAAATGCGACTACAGATGGCAAGAAAAGTGCACCAAAGGGAACTTAATACACAAGCCGCAGCAACCTAAAGTAAATAGATAAGGTTACGAAGGGAATTAAGTAACTATGTCAGTCGGCCACGATAGTAGTATCGGCCGTATGAATCGTTTTTGTACACATAATCCCGGCTTCAGATGGTGGATGTAAATAGCCTCGGCGATAGACAAGATTTGCTTCCGGAAGCCTTGCGAGGAGCGTTCAGGTAATGAGTAAATGACTTTAAAGTCATTCTCAGATGCAATATGGCTACTTTCGAGAAGGTGCGACATGATTGAGCTGTCTGAGGGCCTCATTTCGCCTTTGTAAAACCATTCCGGGATGTGCTCGCCAATCCTCTGGGATAGACGTCTCGTTGTGCGACCCAGGTATCGTGCACTACATGAGCACCAATACTGATAGACGATCATTGAACGGGTAAACGGTGGCAAGCTATCTTTCAAGGGTTTTGCAAGCAATGGGTTGTTGTGGTAAACACTTCTTAATCGGGCTGCGAAATAAGTTTTCTCAACACCATTTTTCAAATGTTGTGATAAGATATCAGCTGCAGTATCGCCTTTAAATGGCAAGTGTATGAATAGCTCTTTTTTGGAAGCAATGCTCTTAGGTGGCTTTCGCTTTCGTTCTTTCATATGCTTCATGGCAAACTTATCGTATTCACCGTTTCGTTCTTGCTTCCTTTCGAAGCGCTTCGTACTATTTGACTGACTCATGTCTCATTATATGCCCCTCCTCAGTGTAGGGTACAGGGTAGAGTTGCAGCAAAAGCGCCAGTTCATGCCACCTCGTTTGGATTCACACTCCTCTATCCCCATATGTGACCAATTGTCCCCCTTACTTCGTCCCTCTGAGATAATAAAGACTAACGACAATGTCATACGGAACAGTTGCTGAAAGCTTTCAATGACACACACGAGCATCTCCACTTCACTTGTGAACACGAACTCGGAAACCGGTTACCTTTCTTGGATGTAGAGGTTATCCGTAACTCGGACGTATCTGCAGAAAGGTACACAGAAAGCACACATGGAGTGGACAGTACACTAACTTCCACAGCGCAGTACCTCTACAGCGTAAGCGGAGTTTAATCAGATCTCTCGCCTTCAGTGCGCGCAGTATTTGTACACCGGATACCGTCAACAAAGAACTACAGAGAATCAGCGACGCCCTCAGGGAAAATGGCTATCCTGATAAATTTGTCATAAAGCATTTGGAGAAACGCAATCGAAGGCCACCTAGGAGCATTGCTCCTAAGGAAAAGCTTTTCATACGTATACCTTTAAAGGGTGATTCGGCAGCTGATATGTTATATTGACGCCTGAAAGATGCTGTCGAGGAAACTTATTTCGCGGCCCGTCTGAAAATCGTCTTTCACAACAAGCCGTTGCTTACAAAACCCGTGAAGAATAGACTGCCATCGTTGACCCGTTTAGTGATCGTTTATCAGTACTCGTGCTCCTGTGGTGCACGATACGTGGGTCGCACAACGAGGCGCCTATCTCAGAGGATTCATGAACACATCCCGGTATGGTTTTACAAGGGCGAAATGAGGTCCTCAGACAGCTCAATCATGTCGCACCTCCTTGAGTGTGGCCATACAGCTTCAGAGAATGACTTCAAAGTCACCTACTCACTACCTGAATACTTCTCCCAAGGATTCCGTAAGCAGCTGTTATCCATCTTCGAGGCTATCTACATTCACCATCTGAAGCCGGAATTATGTTTACCTAAACGATTCATACGGCTGATACGGCCAACG